AAAAAAAAAAATAGAAACAAATGAGCTAGACAACTAAAAATATATATAGAAAAAAAATGATCCGGGCGCGGTGGGTCACGCCCGTCATCCCAGCTCCTCAGAATGGAGGCTGAGGCAGGAGGCTCGCTGGAGGCCAGGCTTCGGAGGCTGCTGTGAGCGAGGCTGACGCCACGGCGCTCACTCTAGCCCGGGCGACAGAGCGACACTCTACCTCTAAAAAAAAAAAAAAGAGTTTAGCAAGAGGCTTGCCCCGTGGTCTGGGTCACTTCGTCCCTGTCCCTCAGGGGTGACATTTTTGCCGTGGAAAAGTGACCTCAGACAGCCGGTGACAGAGGAGGTGGCCCCGGGGAGGGAGGGAGGGAAGCTCTCTCCCTCCCTTTTTTTTTTTTTATTTTATATTTTTTATTTCGGCATATTATGGGTTTGTTTGTTTTTTTTTTTAAAGTCAGCCTCTCTAAATCACGGAGGAGAGATTAACCAAGGCAGCATTGTTTTCTAATCGGAAATGAAAATCAACCGTAAACACGCACGCAAAGATGACAGATTAATAACGCTAAAGATTGTGACCGGACCAAGAGTAACATTTGAACTGAATCTTCACAGTCTAGAAACTCCATCACTGATTTGCTATGGCTGTCCTTTCTGCGGTTTGCAAAGCAAAACAAAACAAAAACTAGAAAAAAAAAAAAAAAAAGCAAGACTCCTTTAGTTTGCAAACTTCATTTTCACCCAGAAGAGGTGGCCCAAAAAAAGTGACTTTTGCAGCAGTTTCCCGCAGGCTGTCAGTCAGGGCGGGTTGGGAATTTTCTTGCCATAGTTTCAGTGGACTGCCCACATTGCATATTGCATTTTTGCCAAGTTGGGATTATTAAATTTTGCATGTTTGCATATTGCCATTTTTGCATGTGCATTTTTCATGTTGGCATATTAAATTTTGCATATTCCATTTTAGCTGATTCGCCATACAATTTTTTTTTTTTTTGAGACAAGGTCTCCTTTGTTGGTCCCAGGCTAGAGCTGAGGTGCCGTGGCGTCAGCCTGCTCACAGACCTCAAACTCCTGGGCTTAAGCGATCCTCCTGCCTCAGCCTCCCAGTAGCTGGGACTACAGGCATGCGCCACCATGCCCGGCTAATTTTATATATTATATATATTAGTTGGCCAATTAATTTCTTTCTATTTTTTTTTTTATAGTAGAGACGGGGTCTCGCTCAGGGCTGGTTTTGAACTCTTGACCTTGAGTGATCCTCCCGCCTCGGCCTCCCGGAGTAGGCGGGACTACAGGCATGCGCCACCATAGCCCAGGCCCTGATTTTTTATAATGTATATATTAGTTGACCAGAGTTAATTTCTTTCTATGTTTTTTTATAGTAGAGACGGGGTCTCGCTCAGGCTGGTTTTGAACTCCTGACCTTGAGCGATCCTCCCGCCTCGGCCTCCCAGAGTGCTGGGATTTTTAATTAAAATAACAATTTTTAATTAAAAAAAAAACCTTTAAAAACCAAATAGGATTAAACCACAGCAATGGTGTTTAGTCTTTCATGAAATCTTCCTAATGCAATGTCACCGAAGTTTAGTTATATTTTCTGCTAAGGACAATATTAATTTGCAGAGATGACCGTGGTGCAACCGGTTGACTTGGGTCACCCCGGGAATAATGTCCCCGGACTCCCGCATCCGCCCGGCCTCCACCCCCGGCCTCCACCCCCGGCCCCCATCCTGTCCCCAGAAACCGTCTCACCAGCCCACGCCCCCTCCGTTGTGAAGCGCGACCCAGGTGGCCCCACGGAAGGCGTCCCCCACGAAGTTCTGCACGGCCATGTCTGGGGAGACAGAAGCCACCGCCTGAACTCCCCGCTCTGGCTGGCCCGGGCGGGCGCCAGGGGGCAAGAGGAAATATACATGTATAGACTGGGCAAAAAAAAAAAAAAAAATAGACGAGCAGGGGACACAAGGCTTCCCTGTGGTCACCCTGAAGAAAGGGCCCGGATGCAGAAGGAGGCAGAGAAGAAAAGAGACAGACGGGTGAGGCCGGGAGCGGAGGCTCACGCCTGTCATCCCAGCAACTCTGGGAGGCCGAGGAGGGAGGATCGCTCGAGGCCGGGAGTTCGAGGCCAGACAGAGCAAAAGTGATACCCCTGTCTTTACTAAAAATACAAAGAAAGTAGCCAAAGAAAACTAAAAATAGAAAAAATTAGCCAGGCAAAGTGGCTCACGCCTGTCGTCCCAGCACTCTGGGAGGCCGGGGCAGGAGGATCACTTGAGGTCAGAAGTTGGAGGCCAGACAGAGCAAAAGTGAGACCCCGTCTCTACTAAACATACAAAAAATTAGCCAAAAAAAAAAAAATTAATAAAAATAAAAAAATTAGCCAGGCGCGGTGGCCCACACCTGTCATCCGAGCACTCTGGGAGGCCGAGGCGGGAGGATCGCTGGAGGTCAGGAGTTCGAGGCCAGACAGAGCAAAAGTGAGCTGACCTCCGTACCTATCCACAAAAATACAAAGAACCGTACCCACAAAGAAAACTAAAAAAGAAAAAGTGAGTCCAGCGCGTGGTGGGGCGCATGCCTGTCGTCCGCAAAAACACAAAAAACCAAACCAAAACACCCCAAGACCTGAACAGCGAGACCCGTCTCTACTAAAAAGGAGAGCACACTATATAATTAATAAAAAAACCCCACGCATGCCCACCCACAACTCAGAAGAGACACAAAAGCGGAGGCTAGGACCATGACACAAAACAGGAGGCTGCTGGATATCACCCGCCCGACACACACACGTCCAGGCCGCGCAGACTCTGTTTAAGAGAGAAAAAAAAATAAACAAAACGGGACAAACACGTTCTGCTTGCACCTGACCAGAAGGCGAGCGCGTCGTAGAATGTGAAGGAGAGCTCCCCGGAAACGGACTGTCGCGTGCCACTCACGTGCGGTGTGTCCCGGCTCAGGACGACCGCCGGCCTGCACAGGAGCGCAGAGACACCACGTTCACCTGCCCGCCCCGGCCACTCACCTAGTCGCCCGGCCATGGCCCAAACCCGCCCGAACCCGGCATTCCTCCCATTGCGCTGATAGACTTATTTCTTGGGCAGGAGGAAGTCCGCCATTCGTTCCACCGGCAGGCGACTCGCAGCATCCCTTTTTTGGAATTTTTGGAGACCGATCTCGATCTGTCGCCCGGCGCGGAGTGAGCGCAGTG